ATCATTCTCAACACAGAGCTTTTGTAATAGTTGGTCACTGAGAGCATGGGCTTTAATTTTATTCGTGTGTAATGACTTATGCTGGCAATCACTGAGGTTTTTTTGCAACCAGATATAGGCAATGAATGACACAGTGAATGGTAAAGTCATTTGGCACTTCTTTTCTCAAGTAAGCAACATGCCCATGATAGCAACCATTCAGTGATGGTGCTCTGTCAGTTGCACATGCAAGTATGTTACTAAGTGGAAGAGGTGATTGAGGTCTTTTACTGTCTCTTTGAGGTCTTCTGCAGGTTTCTCACATCTTGTCTGCTGCAGCTTAGCTGGCTTTATTTGGTGCTGCTGCTGTTTTTCAGGCTTCTTGTGTTCCTGAAGATCTGTGGAGGCTGCAGCTCTCTTGAGGCAGCTCCTCAGAGATGCCAACCTCCATGTGGGGCCTGGAGCTCACCTGGAATTTTAACAGGCAACATAGATCAGTTCCCCTGAAAATAATGGCTGCTTTGGGTGTTGTTGTTTTTTTTTTTTAAATTAAGTTCACAAAAAAAGCAATCCAAAAGTAAAGCTATTATAACATTGACTGGTAGATACTCCCAGAAAACCTAGGCTCAACCTAAATTTTCGTTCAGTTTTCATACACCCACATAGCTCATATTGACACGTGTTTACAATAACCTTGCAATTTTAACCAGATTCTATAATCATTTCTACATCACTCGGTCTCAGAAACCCAATAACTGGCTTCCAGATTTCATCATAATCGCAGGGTGAAAAAGACAACTGGGAACCAACAAAAAAAAGAATTGTTTACTGTTTTCCCCATGATATAAGCATCCCAAAGTTTATCAAACCAGGTATTTATGGAAGGCCTGTTAGGATTTTTCCTATTGGCTGCAATCCATATTGAGACCAAGGAACATTGACTCTTTCCATTGAATAATTCAGACATAAATCAAAAAGAAAAAGGTCTGGAGGCATAGTGAGAGAAATGTCTACCATTTCAACTGTGCCTCAAAAGGACTGGATCATTGGACAAGACTACCATAGACATAAGGGGGATCCTCAGTGATTACACCCTTTCCATCAAAGTGAACTATAAGAGGATCCAATTTTATTACGTTTGGTTGGGCAGAGATACCAATTAGAGATTGTCTTATAAAACTGACGCTTTAAAGGAACTATAGATGATTTGGTAGAAGGAGAGTTCCATATTTTCTGCCATTCTTCAGGAGTTAAAGTCTATTTTAATTCTTTCTCTGAAACCTTAGTATAAGTATCTTGTATCTTGGAGGTTCTTATAAATTTTAGACAGTAAACCTTTGGTTTCTTCCTCTGTGTTTCTGAGAATTTCTTCAAACCTTATTAATGGCCAAAGAAGATGACCATCTTTTTAAAACTGCATTATGAAATTTTGGATTTGAGAGTTCTGAAACCAGTTAATTTGATGACCTAATTTGTTCTCTACCATATTTTTAGAAATAATACTGCCAAGAGAATGGCTGCTTTGGAAGGTGGACTCTGTGACATTGTACCCCACTGAGGTTCATTCCTGAGCTTCACCCCCGAATCTTCAGGTATTTCCCAGCCTGGAGTTGGGAACCTTAGTCCCATGTCACTCTTGCTCTGCTCTGGGGCCCAGATGGCTTCTGTCTCCCTTTTTCTCCTCAGAATTCCCTCTTTCCCCTCAGAACTCTTGTTTCTTCCCTCAGCCCTCTCCTTTGGCTTCTTCTGAGGGACAAAATACCTTTCCCCCTCAGACTCCAACAGAGGTCCAAAATACACAGGGCCACACTTATATAACCTAGAAATAATAATACTGGGTGGCCTGCGACAAAAACAACACTTATATAGGTAAAAAGTGCTCTTCATAATCAACAGGTTCAGTAACCAGGAACACAGGAAAATAAATACCACATTCAGTGCTATTATGTAGGGTTACCATTTTTTGAAAAGCAAAAAAGAGGACACGTTTCCTGACTGACTACTTCACACAACTGATCACGATGACAAATCTCATGTTAGATACCCCTACTCTTTAAGCAGAAGCTTTCCTTCACTGGCCGACTGTAGGGCAGAATAGGCTCAGCCTCTCAACCCTAAAGGAGGATGTTTTCATCAGTGTTTTTTTTTTAAGAGTCCAGAAGAGGACGGACCTCCAAAAAAAGAGGGCATGTCCTCTAAAAAGAGGACATCTGGTAACCCTATATTAAGGGCTTAGCAGTAAAAACTTGGGGAAATGACAGAGACAAAAATACACACGGTGATGACAGTTTCTCAGAACACAGTTAGCTGGTCTGGCTAGACCTCTGGTGGTGGATCTATATACCATTAGCCACATGTAGCCATTATCTGCAGATAGCTAAATCTGTGGATCAGGGATACGTGGAGGCTAAGCAGGTCTTTCTGCATATGCAGACAATGCGCTTACTTCTTCTGCGGCAGCTGACACCGGGAGCTGCTCTGGGGCAGCCGCAGTGGTGGGTGCACACTGGGAGCTGATCTGGGCACAGCTGCAGCAGCAATACATGCCAGGAGCCACTTGGGGTCCAGGTGCAGTGGTAACTCACGCCAGGAGCTGCTTAGGACCTGGCTGCAGTGGTGGCAGCAGCAACCACTCAGGGCTCAGAACGGCTCCCAGAAACCACTGCAGCTGGGCCCTGAGGTGCGTGGTTGAAGGAGAGCAATGGGGGAGGTGATTTCCCCCTGTGAGTTTTGTGGGCAGCTCCTTTGCAGGGGCCGGGTGATCTTCAGCGGCCATTGGTGCCTTGCCAGCAGCTCTCCTCGGGGGTAGGCGGAGGCTGTCAATGCTCACCTGGGTGCGCACCTGCTTCCCACCACAGCCATGAAGAAGCAGCCCTCAGGCGGCAGGGCTCTGCTGGTAGTCTCCTCGCAGGGGAGGCAGGGTCATCGCCCAGCGGCTGTTGGACAGCCCAGGGCTCCATGCTGAGCCCAGCAGCAGCTGCCAGAGAGCCCAGGGGCCACGCTGAGCTATGTGAGAGAGTGGGGAGGGGGAAATGGACCCCCCCCAAGTCTCACAGGCCACCATTTGTTTAGTAAAAATACAGATAGTTTCCATCAGATTGCAGCATTATGCAGAGGCAGAAACTTGGAGTGCCATTTGCCAGCATCTAGGCTCTAGCTTGGTCAATTGTACAGTGAACAACATGGTTGAAGGGGCCCACCTCCATCAGTTCCCATGCCTCTTTTCAATTCTCTAGGTAATCCCCCCCAGGTGATGGTACTAGGGCCGCTAAGTTCCCCCGGGGGACGGAAACCCCCCCGCCCCAGAGGCCCATTCCCCGACGCCGGGGAATCGGGCCCCGGGGGGAACCCCGCCCCAGCGTGCGCATCACAGGGAAGTGACGTTATGACGCCGGGCACAGGGCCACGGCCATACAAGGGAAAACTCTATGGTTTTCCCTTGTATGGTCGAGGCCCCGCCCCCAGCGTGCCCGGCGTCATAACGTCACTTCCCTGTGACGTGCATGCGGCGCGCGCTTCACGCACGTGCACACACATCGACCCAGGAGTCCCCCGCCGGCAAGGTAAGTCCGACTTGGCAACCCTAGATGGTACCCCCAGACCGGTAGCTACAGTGGGGCATTTCAGGGCCACACCCTCAATTTACAGCCACGCCCCACAAGTTTACATCACAGGAAACATGTACCACCCACTTTGGGAACCACTGCTATAGCTGCTTTTTTTGGGGGGGGGCAGACTAGCGATTGTGAGTGGCACACATTTTAGCAGAATAACTGCTGAAGAGGAAAGGGTTAAAACTGGAACTGCATTTGAAAAAAAGACAGTAAGGTTGGAGGGAAGCCCCCTACTGAGCTTTGCATGGAGTTTAATCCTTAGAAATGCTACACAAACATGGTTGGAAAACAACCCTTGTATGATGGTAAGCTATTTTTTTTGGTCTGTAAAAAGACGTTCCTAAAAAAAAAATAGAAGCACTATTTTGCTGTACTCAAATGCTAAAAGCTTGTGAACTGTTCTGTGTCATTTTGGGGGTGGGTTTCGCTTGCTGCGGGTGATCCTTGAAATGCAATTTGAAACATTGCATTGCAGTGGACTTTTCTGATTCAGCTGTTAGCACTCGTTACTGTGTGAAAGCAGAACAGAATATTGTGTCAGTACTGCAGACAACAAGGTATATTTTAGGGCCTGAGAATGATAATTTTAGATTTTTGGGAGCTGACCGATTTATTTATTTGGTTTGATTTGTATCCTGCCTTCCCCGCAAGCAGGCTTGGGGCAGGTTTTGTCATAAAACTCACATTATAACAATATAACAAATCAACAATTCAAATAGATCTAAAAATCTATCTCAAAACAACATCGGTATAAAACTCAGTGCCTCAACAGATCTCAGCAAGAAGCAGTTGGTTCCCAGATGGCCATTCTGATCTGAGGTCACTGGATGAACCCAGCTTTAAAGCATTCTCATTTTTAAAATGTATTTTATTTTTAATTTTTAACTTTATAATAATAAAAGTAAATAAAAAACAGTGATAGAACATGAACAAATCTTTCATAACATTACAGATGAAAAATAAAGATAAGTAACAGGTTTTGAAACTCTTAAATAGGGATACATATTCCAGATCCAGCCCTTTCCCCATTCTCGTATCAAATCCCTTTGCTCCTAGAATAGTTTATTTGGATGGAAACAGGAGCACAGACATGGCCCTGTTGTGTCTGTTCGGACAGTTGGGTCTCCCGCTTCTTCCTCGGAGGATTGGCAATGTGCCCTAAGGTGTCTGCCACTTTTTATCATCACCAAACCCCCTGGGAGGTAGGAAGTTAGGCTGGGAGAGAGGCTGTTTGCTTTGCTTTGGGCTCCCGACTACAGCGGATCATGTTGGAGGTTCCGCACAGCTTTGTTGACAGTTGGTTGTCATTTCGCTGTCCCCCCCTCCCCATGCTAACTGATCAGCTGCAAAGTGTGAATGATGAGCTGGATGTCTTTTCACAACTGTTCTTTACCTTTGGTTACCTAGTCGAGACTTCATTCTCTATCGACACCCTGGAAAGCCACCTTCCTATGCTACAGACAACGGTTTTGAAGATAAGGTAAGGGAGGTGAGGTATGAAAATAATCTCTTAAGGGTAATAGGCCATGCGTACCTGTCTCAAGCGAGTGTGTTCTCCCTTTGACCACGATATTCTGTAGAAGTAATTGTGGTGTGTGGTAATTCGTACAGCCAAAGGGTTGCCAACAAACGTCGCTATCGACAATGTGACTCGAGACTGTTAGAGTGAGAAATCCTGACTTTTTTGGTGGTTATTTAAAAGGTAAAAAAGGAGGAAACTTGTGCATAGCAGAGAGCTACATAACGTCATTTTAACAGGGGTGCATAGCTGTGCCCCCTTCCCCATAGTAGTGATAGACAATCCCCTGAAACCACTCCAAAGATGCCCATTTGAGCCTTTTAAGGTATGGGGATTGCTTTCCATGTGGGGGGAAAAGTCCCCCAGTGGAAACATCCACTCTTAGATGTATAGGACCCAAGCAGTTTGGAGCTTCGTGGGTCAGAGTTGTTCCTGAGTTGTTCCCGGGAAATGACAAATAAGTGATACTAGAGTTTTGTTTTATAAAATGTTATATGTGTTGTTTTGGATCTTGAAACAGACTTGGAAAACTTGAAACCGTCTTGAAAATGGGACCTGCCGTCCCATTGACCATGAAGCTGTTAGCTTCCGAAGGTTGCTCCTGGTCACAGAAACATTCTGTTGATTTCAACGCTGGCCGGGACTGCACAAAGCAGCCAATGAACCCAGCCAGTGTCTTCCGAGTGGCAGTTTTTTCGGCCTAACACTAAAGGGGCCAATTTTAGAATTCTGGCACCCAAAACTCTTTTATAATAAGGGAGAGATACTTGAACAGATTTCAAGATTTTTAACTCAGGATTTTTTGCCTTTCAGATTCTGCTGTGTTGTTCCAGTAATGGCCATTATGATTCCGTGTACACCAAACAGTTTCAGGCAAATGCTGCAATTTGCCAGGGTAAATAGAAGCATTCTCTGTTTTCTCCTAGGCTCTATGTAGCCTCAGTAACTCCATATTTGTTACAGGTTGGTGCTTGACCTTAAGTCAAGTTTGGTTGTAGTGGTTACGTGCGTGGACTCTAATCTGGGAGAACCGGGTTTGATTCCCAACTCCTCCACTTGCACCTGCTGATGTGACCTTGGGTCAGTCACAAGCTCTGGCACAGCTGTCCTTGAAAAAGAGCAGTTTGTCTCAGAGTTCTCTCAGCCCCGCCCACCTCACAGGGTGTCTGTTGCGGGGAGGGGAAGGGGAAGGAGTTTGTAAGCCGCTCTGAGATACCTTTGGGTAGTGAAGGGCGGGGTATAAATCCAGTCTCTTCTTCTTAAGTCACCTTGCATTCTGTGTGGGGACGGCTGCCAGGCTGCTCCCAAGAGAATAGTCTTCTCTCCCATGCTTGTTAGCAGCTCTTCTCTAGGAAGCCCGATTTGTTTTCTCTCACCACTAGACGCCAGGTGCGAGATGGCCTGGCTCATCCTAGTGTTTGCAGGGGTGGAACATGGTCAGTAAAATCAGTAAAAGTCAGTTTTTTCATCTTGGTCAGTAATTTGTCAGTTTTTTTAAAAAAAAATTGGTCAGTAAAGTCAGTATTTCTTTGATGTTTGTGAATGCAGTTTGTGCTTTTCTGTGTTCACTACTGCATTTTTGGGGAAACATGACAACTTCCCAGTGAGAAGACCGATTGTTCTCTGTTTAGTTATGAAGTACTTTAAGGACTTTGTTCCTAAGAGTAAAAGTGATTTGGTGAAATCTTCCACAAAGTATAGATTATTTTTTTTTGATTTTTTTAAATATCAAAGTATAGAAACATAATTAACCTCTTAAAACATGAGACAATGAAAGTAGAGGTGATGGACATTGACAATGAAAGTAGAGGTGATGGGCATTGTGGGATTCAACATGATGCTGCTCATGCTAGAAGGAGTTGAGAAAGCAATGGAAGAAGAGGACAAGGGGGAAAAATGCTTGTGGATGCAGTGCAGAAAACTTTTGGCCCAGTTGGCTCAGTCTGAGCCAACCAGCCACGGCTTGCAATGCCCGGTCCAGATCTTCCGGGTTGAAGTCAGACTTCCATTGTTAAAGAGGTATCCAAGAGCACTCCCTAACTCCTAACCTCTGGTGTTGGCACCAACGGAGCCCAATTGAAAGTCGGGAGTGGGATCCCTACCCTCGGTCCGCCCCGACTCAGGCACAGGACCTCTGTCCTTCTCAGATTCAATTTCAGCCGGCTCAGCCTAAGCCATCCAGTCACATCTTGTAATGCCCGGTCCAGATCTTCCAGTTTAGAGTCAGACCGGCTGCCCAACAACAGATAGAGCTGGGTGTCATCTGCGTACTGGTGACATCCCAGCCCATGTCTCCGTGCAGTCTGGGCAAGGGGCCCATGTAGATGCTAAACAGCATTGGGGACAGCACAACCCCTTGAAGTACTCCACAATCCAGTGGGTGCCTTCGGGATAGTTGTTCCCCCAGTGCCACCCTTTGTCCCCGACCTTGGAGGAAGGAGGTGAGCCATTGTAAGGCAGGCCCCTGGATTCCAGTGTCGGTGAGGTGGTGGATCAGTAACTGATGGTCGACTGTGTTGAACGCCGCCAACAGGTCCAACAGCAACATCACTGCCAATCCACCCCGATCCAGATGCCTCCGGAGATCATCCGTGAGGGCGACCAGTGCCTGGGCGGAAACTGGAGTGGAAAGGATCTAGAATGGAAGTGTCATCCAAAAAGCTCCGTAGCTGAATTGCCATGGCCCTCTCAATTATTTTGCCCAAACAGGGCAGATTGGAGACCGGCCGGTAATTAGCCAATTTGGCCAGATCCAGAGATGACTTTTTCAGGAGGGGACGAACCACAGCTTCCTTGAGTGCCCGTGGGAACTGTCCCTCCGAGAGGAAATTGTTGATAATCTCCCTTAGGGCATCTCGAAACCCATCATGGCCAGCTTTAATTAGCCATGATGGGCATGGGTCAAGGCAGCACATGGTAGGGCGTGCAGTTAAGAGCAGTTTGTCAAGTTCTTCTAGGCTGAGTGGACTGAAATAATCCATAACCTGACTAGAAGATGTGCATGGAGCCTCGAGGTCACGGTGGAGCGACAGGACTTTATCTGCAAAGTAGCTCTCAAAGGCCTCACAGCCAGTGTCCAATTCCCTAACATTTGATCTGCCTTGTGGCAGAGCAGTCATAGGCCAAACTATTCTAAATAATTGGGCTGGGCATGAGCTCGCAGATGCAATCGTGGCCCCATAATACTCTGACTGCCATCTCATAGGATCTCATAAATGTCCCATAAGATGTTCTTGTGGCTTCATCGCAGGTGTACCGCTACTGTCTCTCTAGCCATCTTAGCCCTCGCTTCATCAGCCGCAACTCCTGGATAAACCAAGGAGCCAGCCTAGAGTGAAGGTGCAGAGGGCGTCGGGGAGCAATCTCATTGATGGCTGCTAAGAGTCAGCTGTGCCAGTCCTCCACAAGCTCATCTAACGAGCCGCTAGGGGGCATCAGATCCTACAGGGCCATTTGAAGCCACATAGGGTCCATTTGGCTCCATGGGCAAGCTGAAATCTGCTCGCCACCCAAACGGGGTTGGGGTGAAACATTCAGATGGGCCTTCAGGGCATGATGGTCTGACCATGGCACTGCTGAGGCAGTGACCCGGTCCACTGTGACCTCTGCTCTGCAGATCAGATCGAGCGTGTGTCCGGCCCGGTGAGTGGAAGTCGTTACATATTGGGAGAGTCCCAGCACCACCACGGATGACACTAGGTCCATCGTCTGCATGGACATTGAAATCACAAAGGACAATCGGTCTAGGGTGTTCAATGCCCTGCCTGGCATGGCCTCCACCAGGATGGCAGGCTGCTGGCCGGTTCTTTTTTCATTAAAAAAAAAAAAGATAAAGTACAAGCAAAGACCAGGCTTACCTTACAGTAATTATGTTTTGTTGCCATAATTATTTGTTTGGTTTTTAATATGTTTTTGCTGTTTTGCTGTTTTATTATCTGCAGTAAGTGATTATTTTTAAAAGGGAATCTTTTTTTTGCCTTAAATTTTGTACAAGAATGAAAACATTGTCCTCCATTCTTAAAGGAATTCAATAAAAATGTGTGCAATCCTTTTATCTGGGTCACCTCTAACTATGGGACTGACTATGGGGATGGTGGAGGCCAGATAATAATCATTTTTAACGAAGTCCTAGTTTTACATTTAAAACGCTAGCTTATCAGTAAGCTGACATTAAATTGTTCAGTAATTTGTCAGTTTTTTGACAGTATTTGGTCAGTTCTTTTGGAATTTTGGTCAGTAAAATCAGTATTTTTGACCCTCTGACTAGTTTTCACCCCTGTGTTTGGGATAGCTCAATGATGTTTTGACTCGTAGCCAGCACTTAGGGTATAAGATGCTTGGTTTTAGCTGTGCATCTCATCTAGAGATCTGGCTAAGGTTCGCTGTGCGTGTGTGCGTTCGAGACCCCAGTGGATGGGAGCTCAGCCTGCAATTTCTGAAAACTTGATCGTTGCTTATTAAAATCTCCTTGTAAGCAAGCCTGGATCTTGCATATCGTTTCCTTGGGATTTCTGCAAACCTGGAGCTCCTGGCCAGAGCCCCAAACAGGTTCCCCAGTTATCTTAAATAATTGGCAGGAGACACAAGAATAGCCTTAAGCTGGATGGCGCAGGCTAGCCAGATCTTGGAAGCTAAGCAGGGTTGGCCCTGGTTACTTCTTGGATGGGAGGCCACTGCGAAAGTGCAGGGTTGCTGTGAAGAGGCAGGCAATGGCAAGCTCCCTCAGCTCATCTCTTGCCTTGAACACCCTACAGCAGTGGTGGCGAACCTATGGCAGGGCTTAAGTAAATGAAAGCATTTGGGATTGCTTTCCTTACTTTGTTTGGATAATCTTAAATTAATGTATGAGTTATTTTTTCTAAAGAAAAACCTCAGTATTCAGGTTAAATTGCCGTGTTGGCACTTTGCGATAAATAAGTGGGTTTTGGGTCGCAGTTTGGGCACTCGATCTCTAAAAGGTTCGCCATCACTGCCCTACAGGATCGCCAACAGTCAGCTGCAACTTGTAGGCATTTTCCACCAGTCAAAAGAATTAAAATTAGCACACTAGAAATGCTTCTCATTGGGGTGTAAATCTTTCTTTTAAAATCACGTTCTGCTTTCCCAGCTGTGCTGTATGACATCCTGTACAAAAACGTGTTCCATGTGCCTGAAGAGGAATTGAGGACTGCAGTCGAAATGTTTCGAAGCGGGGCCAAGAAAAACAGAAATAGTGCATCTGTTGGAAGTGAAGACGCCAGTTTCGACTGCTTTCTGGAGAGATCAAACAAGAATTTTTCAGAAAAGAGGTGCCTTTTGAAATGATGTGCCTTTGGATTCAGGGATCAAAATGTGGCATGTCTTTGTGTGAACTCGCTATATGATCTTGAGTGCCCATTCTTCTGAAGGGCTTTGTTTTACAAGCCCTGGCTGCATTTTGTTACATGGGTTTTGTCCTGGGTAGTTGAAAGTTTTCAAATGGGATTCTTAAGTCTGCCATATCTAACCTTCTGTGTACTTCAAGGTGGGCAGCTGTGTTGGTCTGAAGTAATAGAACAAAGAGTCCAGCGGTACTTCCTCAGATACATTGAAATGGAATTACAGATCATACTTGTATATATACAGGGTGGCTTGTTCAATTAGCGTGCAAAATAGTGAAGATGTTTATTAACAGATCAAAAGAATGACAAGCTCGGTTTCTGGTTATCATCTGTTTGGGTTCAGCTGGGGGGAAAAAACAACATAGGTAATACAAATGTCAGAACTGGAAATTGATGTGCCCTAAATTGTGAGAAGGGCTGCGGTGGCTCAACTGGTTAAGATGCTGAACTGCAGACCAGAAGGCCAGTAGTTCAGCAGTTCGAGACCCGGGTGCCGCATGACGGAGTGAGCTCCCATCTCTGGCCACAGCTCCTGCTAACCTAGCAGTTCGAAAGCAAGAAATTGCAAGTAGATCAATAGGTACCACTTCGGTGGGAAGGTAACAGCGTTCCGTGCGCCTTGGCGTCTAGTCATGCCGGCCACATGACCACGGAAACGTCTTCGGACAGCGCTGTCTCTCCGGCTTGGAAACGGAGACAAGCACCGCAGCCCTAGAGTCGGATTTGACTGGCTTTCGAGCAAGGGAAACCTTTACCTTTACCTAAATTGTGAGAATCCAGTCCTTAGACCCCATCTGTCCCTTTTCTAGCATGGAGGTAAACTTTACAGCATCTTGGCTGTGTAGAGTATTTTCCTTGTCCCCAAAACAGAGAATTACATTTAAATCTACTATTCCAAATTACATTACATATTCAATTATATTCTTAATTGTTAAGAGTAGGGGTAAACTGTCCTTCTTTTGATCTGTTAATAAACATCTCCACTTCATTGTCTGAGGATGTGAGCACACGAAAGCTCACACCTTGAATAAAACTTTGTTTGTCTTAAAGGTGCCGCTGGACTCCAACTTTGTTCTTCTGTGTACTTGTTCTTATTGAAGTACAATTGCGTGTGACTGTTGGTAGAATTTCACCACTTGGTGGAGCCATGGTGCTTCTATTTTTGCATTGCAAAACTCTGGGAAAGGTACCGGCTGTTTTTCTCCATCACTGGGCGAAGACAGTCTGTTGAGTGCTGAAAATCTGCTGTGTTTCCCATTCCCTAGGGTGGAAGACTGGGAAAACTATGAACTGGCTACCCTGCCAGCAGACAAATGCAAACAAGGCGCTGAAGAAGCAAAGGTTTGACATCTTAAGACAAAGATAATCCTGTGTGCCCAAGAATCCCTTTCATGGGAAATAGAGAAGAGTTTCCAGGACCACCTTTTGCTAATCTCCCCCCCCCTTCCTTAATTTGGTTCTCTTTTTGGTGTTCTGCTACTGTTTCTAAACCTGTACAGGCCTTCTAAGTTCTGCTTTGCTAGGTGAGGAAAACAGAAGCCTGAGGGGGGAGAAATAACACTTGGTTTTTGAACACTATAGTTGTCTGAAAGCTGCACTGAAGGTACCATGCACCTTTCCGGGCAGCACATGCCTCTGGTTTCAGTGAGCTGCTTGCGATGCACAAATACGCCCTCCTCTGTCCCCTCCCACTTTGTCATTTTCTGTCAGAATTCCATCCTGGCTTTTATTGTCCAGAATCTCTCAAACACATTTGGGCCTGAATATACATCTAGCCAGAAACACAGAGCCAGAGCTGTTTCCTGATATGTAAGAGCTGTACAGACCCGCCCCCCCCAGATCTTAAGACTCATTACCATTTCTTTTCTCCTACAGTGATGCACAGTAACCAGCATCCAAGCCTATAGGGGAGGGGGCAGGCCGTTGTGTATGCATGAGAGAAACGGTTCTGTTTCTATGAGCCTGCCATCTGCCATCTTTGAATGAAAATCCAAACAAACTGGAACTCAATATAGGATTTACCTCCCTCGATTTTATCTAATGGCACGGGCTTTATCCAGAAATCACTTGACCTGTCTCGAGTGACATTCTCAAAGTCAAAGCCAGTCAAGTCCCAGAAATAAGCTGCTAGCTAGTATATAACTCTTCATTGTTGCAGCGACTGTTTACGGCTTTGCAGTCAATCTTCTGGTATTTCACGCTTGGTGCAGACTCCCATATGTGGCACTCTGCAGTTGCTGTTGAAGTGAAAGCTAATGCATAGGCTTGTTTGATTCTAACGGGGGGATGATCATAAATTCTATTATGGGGGCTTTCTTGATCAAATGCCCCCCTCCTTTTAGGTAGAAATCCAGACTGTGGTGATCCTACAGTCAAGAGGGCTTCATATTTTGGTGGCTTTTACTATTCCCCTCAGTCAATGGAGACTGTGGACTTCGGGGGGGGGGGGAGCTGTGGAATTCTGTCATCCTGACATTTGGGGGTTTCAGAAAAAACATAACTATGTATTGCAACACAGAAATAAAAAGATAATAAAGCCAACCTTTTGAGAGCAGAAAAGCACGTAACATTTTTTTTTTGTCACACAAAGCTCCAGTCTTGATGGAGTTCAAAATATTGTTGTTGTTGCTGCAACACATGGGTTGTTCTGCCCCGGGTCTCTGGGTCGCACAAGTGTGTACCCTAGGGGTTTTAACAAATCCCCAGTCTCTATGAACAGAAGGGAAATGGGAAAGAGCGCCCTCACTTTACTCCTTGAAATCCCGTGAAAGTCAACAGATCGTCACTGGAGTGAAACCTCTGGAGTAAAGGGAGCCCCAGTTGGTCTAGAGCCGGCCATTCCAATCAGCCCTAATGATAACCTCTGTTGGAAAGGATTAGTCGTGCCTGTGCTCTAAACTTGTCCATCTTAACTTTGCAGCCTTGTGAAAACCCAAAGATGCCCTTTCCTTATAAGGTGTTGAAAGCACTGGACCCCGAGATCTACCGGAACATAGAATTTGATGTGTGGTTAGACAGCAGAAAAGGTATCTTACACTAGCTAGTACACAAGGGGGCAGTTCTGCACGTTGGGGCGGCTCCAGTTGGTTGCTGCAGAAAACTGTGGTGTTTCATTGGCACCTTGTGCAGCAATGTGGGGATGTCACGTGAGCGTACATTACATGCCAGTGTTCACACATCTGGAAACCCAGATACATCATGTGTGACATGCATACACTTGTGTGGTCATTGAGAGAAGTCACTGCAAATGCACACCACCATAGTAATGATGTCCGGGACTGACTTGCAGAGCAGCACTCCCCGACTGTCTATAATGTACTACACTATTGAGAGAGTATGACAGCCACTCTTGAACTCCCAGGGCATGTGCAAGGAAACCTGGCTGCATTAGGCCTCTGCACGCTCAGAGTGGGTTAATTTTGAAGTAATGGAAAACTATTTTAAAAGGTGTCTTTATATATATAATTTGCTGGTGCATCAGATTTTATGATGGGGCTTCTAGGTTTAACATTCTCTCAGCTGAAGTTTTGAAATTCTACCACAGGGGTCCCCAAAATGACGCCTGCCAACACCTTTCCTGGTACTCAGGGCTATTTATTTATTTATTATATTTATACCCCGCCCTCCCAGCTATGGCTGGCTCAGGGCGGCTAACAGCGAGATAAAACTACAGAAATAACAATAAATAGTAAAAGTCATAAAACCAATTAATAATTAAGACATTAAAAAGGTCCTAACATCCAGATGGAACCAATATACAGGTACCGGTTTGGTATTCCGTTTGGGATGGTGCCAGGGCCGGGCTGTTATTGTTAAATTTTAGACTGTCGCCTAGGGCGATGGCTCAACAAGGGCGCCATTCTGGCCAGCCTTGTCCCCTCCTTGCCCTGCACAGGAAACCTCCCTTGCCGACTTCTTGCTTAGTCCCTGGCAAGAGACTCCCCTCTTTGCAGCCCCCCAGACAGAAAGAGAAGAGGTGGGGGCAAGTGCCGCTCGCCCTCTGCCACCCCTGCCCCGCGGTCTCTTTGGAGCGCCTTTTGCAGCCTGGCACAGGCCCCCTCTCCATCCCCTTGAGCAATCCCGCCCCCCGCATGCATATTTAGCTCGCCCCCTCGGCCCACCCACTGTGGCGCCCACCCCCGTCCCGCGTGGGGGGGGGCCGCCAGAATGTATCCTTGCCTAGTGGGTGAAAAAACCTGGGGCCGTCACTGGATGGCACACAACTTCCAAGCTGTCCTGGTGGATGGTCTGGGTCTAACATTAGGCAGGTGACTCAGGCTACCTCAAGGTTTCAAGGAGGCAGGGCATTCTCTCCGGGGTGGCTCCTAATTAAACGCCTGGTGGAACAGCTCCGTCTTGCAGGTCTTAGAAAGTGGGCAGGGTCAGTCTGGGCTTTTACGCAGCAAGGCTTCTGGGTGGCCATTGGAGAGTTGATTGGTGGTGCAGATTTTTTAAAAATGTTGCTTTGGCAGTAGCTGCCACCACAGCACAAGGATTGTTTGGTGTAGTGGTTAAGTGTGCAGACTCTAATCTGGGAGAACCGGGTTTGATTCACCACTCCTCCACTTGCACCTGCTGATGTGACCTTGGGTCAGTCACAAGCTCTGGCACAGCTGTCCTTGAAAAAGAGCAGTTTGTGTCAGAGTTCTCTCAGCCCCACCCACCTCACAGGGGGTCTGTTGTGGGGAGGGGGAAGGGAAAGGAGTTTGTAAACCGCTCTGAGACTCCAAGTGAAGGGCGGGAGGCGGGGTATAAATCCAATCTCCTCCTCTTCTTCTTCTTCTTCTTCTTCTTGTATCTTTGAAGGTAACTGGCAGCAGCCATTTTGTGGCTGACTCTGCTTCCTCTGGCAGCCATTTTGTGACGGCACTCACCATACCATGTCAGAATTCAAAAGGTGTCCTTCAAAAAGGCTGGGTGCCGCAGCATCACATTCAAGAGTGCATGTCAGAGCCCCAGCTACATTTTAATTTTTGATTTATTTTACAGAACTGCAAAAAACAGATTATTTGGTGTTCGCTGGAAGACAGTATTACTTAGGCGACAAGTGTCAGGTAAGACGACTTAATAAAAGCCTGTTCGAAGCAACTTCTAAATAATTTGTTACAGTCAAGGGTACAGTGTGAAGAAAAGGGTTTTCTTAAGCCTGGAACAGTCACCCGAAGTAATGTGGGTGTTCCCCCCAAGTTTCTGTTTTATGTGTAATCAGCAATGTTGAGTCTTGTGAGCAAAAATCCTACTTTGTGAGCTACTGGCATTAAAGTTGTAAGTGAGCGATTTGGCAACTGCATAAATCAGTTTGTTTTGGAGCTGTCCTTCCTGAGCTAAGACAAAAATTTGTGAGCTAAAGGCTAAAAAGCTGAGCTAGCTCACACTAACTCAGCTTAGAGGGAACACTGGTAATCAGTGCAACAAACCACCAGGCAAGAGGATGGGAAACTGTTTTAAAGCTCATCTTTCTACGGGTCTGTAAACTGTGAAGCTTTCAGCTCCTGCTTTTTTCCCAAACTTGGAGGTGTTTCTGTTTATCGGCCTTTCACAACCAATACTTTGGCGGCCTGGACTCAAGACGCCCATCCTCTTTCTAAGTTGATACCAATTAAAATCACATCTTTGTTCAGGGCTCTCCTATCCATTCCATCCTCTGAACTGGAAGTCGATCTCCTCTTCTTGACCTGCAGGCCTTGCCGTTGGCTGTTTCGGGATCCCGCAGGACTGGGGAAATAGTTCTTTAGCACGTTCATGTATTCAAGTCAATCAGCGCTGTAAATTATTTTAAAATATCAGCAGAGAGCTGAGCTTTGCAAATTGAAAAAAGAATACAGGGAAAAGTGAAGGGGAGTTGAATATGAGAATGGTTTTGACCTTCCCTAAAGCGCAGCCTCCTTCTGGGTTTCAGGCTTCCTTGTGTAGAGTGGGGTTTGATTTCTCCCATCCTGTGTTTAGACATGCTGTCCTACAGTTCTCCTGTCTAAGGAAGAGCACATCTCACTCTTCAGAGTCTTGTTCAGAGACAGCTTAAAGATTAAAAAAAAGTTATCAGTGTGAAAACAAAGCAAGCTGGGGGCTAAGAACGGCATAGAAATATCCATAGAACAGACCTCTTGCTAGAAGTAGGCCACAAAAACAGCTAAAAAGATAGGCTCTAATTTAAGCCTGGGTGAAAGGACATTTTTAGGCCTGTTGCCTGGAAGTTGGGCACTAGGCAAGCCTCAAGGGGGAGGACGTTCCACAGGTGAGGTGCCACTACTGAAAAAGTCATGTCTCTGTTTGCCACCTGCCTTACCTCTGAAGTTTGGAACACGGAGAGCAGGGCTTTTGGGGAGAGACCTTAACTGTCAGGCTGGACAGTACAGGAAAAGGCAATCCTTCAGCTACCCTCTCCTTAAGCCATTTAGGGCCTTAAAGGTAAGAACAAGTACTGTGAATTGTGCCCAGACGTTCGCATCTCTCAGATGAGACATGCCCTGTAAAATAGGCCCCAGCAATAGCCTGGCCACTGCATTTTGGACCGATTAAAATTTGTGGACCGTGTTCAAAGGCTGCTTCTCATGGAGCTTACTACCAGTAATCTAAAGTGGATGTGATCGGAGCATGGATCACGGCAGCCAAATCATGCTTTCTGAGGGACTTGCATAGTTGATGCATCAGCCGCAGCTGATAAAAGGCGCTGTGTGCTGTGGAGGAAACCTGAGCCTTGAACTGCAGGCCAGGATTCAGCAGTGCTGCAGACTCTGAATCTGCTCCTTCCAGGACAGGTTGACTCCTCTTTGCGTTCTAGCCGATGCATCGTAGTGTTGTTGCTCTGTTGTCCAGGATGCAACGGGGTTATAAGCTTGTCAGCATCTGCCTCCTTGACTTTCACCACTGAGATCTTCCACCCTGTCCTATATGTTCATGTGCGCTCTCTCTCTCTCTCCCTCTCCCTCTCCCTCTCCATGTGATGTGATGTTGAGATCTTGGTCTACCTCAGACAGGAAGTCATGGAGGTAGAAGTTGTAGGGGGGAAATGGTATTGATGGACACAGCGAGTGGATAATCTAATCCCCTAGTCTCTCCCACCACATCAAATCCGGGAGCCATCTTTAGCCCCGATTTAAATTTATTTATTTCTTTTTGACATTTTTTACCCTGCCCTCCCTGCGAGCGGGCTCAGGGCGGCGTACAAGGGGCAGAGACCACATAAAACATAATAAAAGCAATAAAACCATTAAATAACATAGATAAAAATAAAGTGCTCCGTGAAAACAGGATTGTCCCCGAATAAATCTCATGATGGTAACAGTCAGTTCTTTGGGGGTGATCTTGTCCTGTAGTTGGTCCCAAGGAAGTCCGGTGGTATCAGTGCCACGTGGTGATGTAGAAGATCTTCCTGGGGCCCCGTTGTTATCCACACCATTGGAGAGATGCTGTTATATCTTCAGCATGTGTGTCGACCTCTGATCTTGTTCTTCAGCCTTCTCCTCTCCTTCACGAAGTGGTGGCAGCCATCGCCCCAGTTGTGTGTCCCAGTTCCTGTGTGTGAAAAACCAGGGGTCAGCTGCTTGACCTGAAGAGAGCAGGGTGTCTAAAGCTTAAGCTATCCCCAGCAGACTTTCTCCTGGCATTAAAACATACAAAGATCTTCACCTGGCATTAAAACATTCCTCAGTTGTCTCCCATCAGTTTCTTCCCCTGCCAGGTCATGGCCTAAACTCTGGAACTTTCAGCATTGCTAGGTGGTATAATTTATCAAGTAGGGGTTACATCCCTAGTATTTAAGGCCAGGGTCACACATGAAGTTGCCTTGTACTGAACCAGGCTGTTGATCCGTCAAGGTCAGTGCTGCCCGCACAGACAGACTGGTAGTGGCTCTCTGTGGTCTCAGGTAGAGTTCACATCAGTTATGACCTGATCCTTTTAACTGGAGGTACCAGGGATCCTGCCTGGGACCTTCTGCATGCCAAGCGAATGTTGTGGTACTGAGCCACGGCCCTTTCCCAATTCCTGAGCAGATTCCCATACAAATTGTTCTGTTCTCAAAGTGGGGGCATAGGCACAAGGGACTGCTCTTTTGAAAAACCCAGGCCAAAATACGGTTGAACAGAGTTGGAGGGGTTTGCGTGTGCTTCTTTATAGTTCTCAATGTGTGTGGTTTGCTTTGTTTCTTTTTCTTCTTTAATAAAAAAAAATTGACGCAGTTTGTAATATAGTATGGTGCTGCTGTGTGGTTTGCTTTGTTTCTTTTTCTTCTTAAAAAAAATAATGACGCAGTTTGTAATACAGTATGGTGCTGCCGTTGTGGCCTGTGGCAAGTTAATAAGATCTAACTCTGAGCTCCTTCGTCAGGATCTGGTTGGGGGAAGTAGATTGCAAAGGACTGCATTCTGTTTTTGGGTTCACCTCGGGTCTCTTTTACCTCCCTCAGGTACGCCTAGAGACTGGGGGGAAATATTACAATGCCCACATACAGGATGTTGGGCAGGATACTATGGTGACGGTCTTCATTGAGGAGCTGGCGGAGAAGTATGTACTGTTGGGGGGGCCCTGCTTTGTTCATTATCCGTTCATTCATGGAACTTTTTCTTTTTTGCCATCAAGTTGCAGCCAATTTAAGGCGACCCCATGGGCTTTCAGGGCAAGAGGCGTTCAAAAGTGGTTTGCCATTGCCTGCCTCTGTGTGACGACCTTGGTATTCCTTTCCTTTGTCTAATAAGAGCTCTGTAACTCAATGCCCTGAGCAGTAGAACAATCTGAAATTTCATTCGTAACCTCTGTTTATTTCCCAAAAGACAAAAGGAATAAAAAAATCCTTGCAACATCCAAGGTTATATTAGGATTTTGATCTAAGCGTAATTTATATGGAGTGACCCTGGTATTCCTTGGTGGTCTCCCGTCCAAATACTGACCAGGGCTGACTGCTTAGCTACATTGCTTAGCTTCTGAGATCTTACGGGATTAGGCTGACCAGGGCTGTTTACATCATGGCTTCATGGAACCAGGATGGATTAAACCTGACCTGGATGGCCCAGGCTAGCCTAACCTGGTCAGGTCCTGGGAGGTAAGCAGAGTTAGCCCCGGTTAGTGCTTGGATGGGAGACCACCAAAGGAAGTCCGGGATTGCGTCTTTCACCTTGGAAACCCCATGAGAGGTCGCAGTAATTCTGCTGCGATTTGATGACACTTCTCACATGCGCACAAATCCCCTAAATTAGGATGCTGTATATTCTTACAAAAAGAAGCTGCGGTGGCTCACATTGTTAAGACGCTGAACTGCAGGCTGTGAAAGGTCGGTAGTTCAGCAGTTCGAGACCCGGGTGCCGCATGACGGAGTGAGCTCCCGTCTCTAGTTCCAGCTCCTGCCAACCTAGCAGTTCGAAAGCAAGAAATTGCAAGTAGATAAATAGGGACCGCTTCGGTGGGAAGGTAACAGCGTTCTGTGCACCTTGGTGTTTAGTCATGCTGGCCACATGACCACGGAAACGTCTTCGGACAGCGCTGGCTCTTCGGCTTGGAAACGGAGATGAGCACCGCAACCCTAGAGTCGGATTCGACTGGCTTTCGAGCAAGGGAACCTTTACTTTATATTCTTACAGCTTCATTTGACCTGGCTGCTTGTTCTCTTGAACTTCAGATGCAGATGGAGGGAAAGCTCTTATTTACTAACCAGTTCAGTACTGTAACCTTTACTTTATATTCTTACAGCTTCACTTGACCTGGCTGCTTGTTCTCTTGAGTTTCAGATACAGATGGAGGGAAAACTCTTATTTACTAACCAGTTCAGTACTTTGATTGCAACTGTAGCTCAGCCGCCTGAAGTCAGCAAAACATTTTATAATTGAGCTGTTTTGCCAATTGAGAGTGTCCTCTACCTCCTCCCCCATCAGAATCAATGGAGATGTGGGTTGTGAATGTTGGCAGAGTAATTAACACAGCAGCTGTGCACAACTGATTAAAGAGTAGATAAAGGTTTATTTAGGAATTGACATACCTGATAGGAAAGAGGAGAGAAAGAGAGAGGTTCCTGACTACACCCCTAGCTGAGAGAGAGGGTAAGACCGAGTGTGGCACTTTGGCAAAGAAGGGGGAAATTGCCCTAAAAGGAGTAATCTGGAGATAGACAAGGAATGACACCTAACAGGAGAGAAGGGGCTGACCTCAATTTCTTGCTTTCGAACTGCTAGGTTGGCAGGAGCTGGGGCCAGAGACGGGAGCTCACTCCATCATGTGGCACTCGGGTGTGCCCTTACCACAGTTCAAATGGTGTACTGCTTGAAAAGTCATCAATAAAAGTCAGCACATATTTATTCCCACTAGGGGTTTGAGTTTTCATTAGTCCACAAACATCACTGTGTATCAGCTGTATGGTTCACTGCATCTGGCTTGCCTCATGCCTTTTGTTAAAGCTAGGTCTCACCCCTTCACTTGAATGCAATGAATATATTTTCCTTCAACAGCACATTTGCTCATCCGTATGCCTTTAGTTAAAATTTGGCTTTCAAGTTGGCTAATTGTATAATTGTCTCTGTGTCCCAAACGTCTGTGCCATAGCCAGGAGCAATTGTTGTGATCACAATGTCTGGTAAAGTTTGCTTTCTGCATTTAAGTTTCAAGAACATGTAAATCCTGATGCACTTTGCCAGTTGCAATTAGCTGCCCCCTCTGTCTGACATAGCTTTTTTTCTCCAAAAGAAGTAGCCATGCCTTTCTTCACAAGTACTCTCACAGGAACAAGATTATTTGCCAGTTCTGGGACATAAAGGCAGTCTTTAACAAGGATGTCTTGGCTCTCTCCTCTAAGGAGTTTGCATTTTATGGTTCCTGAGCCAATACCTTCTGCCATTATAGACCATCCATCTGCAACACTTAATGTCTCTGCTGTTTCTTAATCTAACGTTTCAAATAAATCTTTATGAGCACACATGTGGGTTGTGCAGGCACTGTCCAGATACCAAATATGACTTTATGTGCTCCTTACGTTAATATAAAACTTTTCTTTAATGGCGGCTGTTTGGAGTTTCCCCCTTTTATTTCTCTAGGGAAGGCAATCTCTTTGTTTAAAGCTAATGCAGTTCCTCTTAATATGGGAGGATTCCCACAGAGGTGACAAACGATCCTACCTTTGTATTTACATTCAAAGCCATTTGGTTTAAATTCTTTGTCAGACTTTTCAAATTGTCTGTGTTTGGATGTTTCCTCAAGCTGATTTATAACTTCTGTGAGGGACAGGTTACTCTTAGATTCAATCTGAGACACTATATTTTCATATAACTCTGGTAGGCTTATTAATAGTAATACAATCAGATCTTGATCAAGAATTTCCTTTCCTGAACTCCTCAGTTGCTCAGCCAATCCAAGTATCTTGTCCAGATGATGATGTAAATTACCTCCCTCTTTCATCTTAATACTGAAAAGTTTCTTTTGTAGATAAAGCTGGCTCTTTAATGAGGAATTTACAATGCAGCCTTTACAGCTCACACCACACAGCTTTGGCTGTTGGCATCTGAATTACTCTTAACACATTTCTGTCAGTTAAACCCTTGATTGTGGTGCCTCTTGCCTTTTCATGGTTGGAGTCCCAGGTTCTCTGCTTTGCCAGGTCACCATCTCCTTGTTGGGCATCCTGGATAACATCCCATAATCCTGTTTCAAGAAGGTGACTCTTTGTTCTCTCCAAATCAGATAATTGTTCTCTGTGAGCCTATCAATCAAATGGCCGTGCTGTGCATCACAGGAGGTCACCATTTTTGTTCCTTTGTTCTCACCTGCTTGTGCCAAGAGCCTCCGGCGATCTCTCTAACTTTAATCAGAGATGTGCTTAATCTGGGCCCATAACCCCTGTTGGCAGTAATTAACACAGCAACAGTTTATTTAGGAATTAACAGGAAAGAGGAGAGACAGAGATGGGTTCCTAACTACATCTCTAGTTGAGAGAACAGGGTAAGACTGTGGCAGAGATTGGATTTATACCCCACCCTTCACTACCTGAAGGAGTCTCAGAGTGGCTTACAATCCATTTCCCTTCCCCTTCCCACAACACACACCCTGTGAGGTAGGGGAGCTGAGAGACCTCTTTCGAGAACTACTTTTGAGAGAACAGATCTGAGAGAACTGTGACTGACCCAAGGTCACACCAGCAGCTACATGTGGAGGAGTGCGAAATCAAACCCAGTTCTCCCAGATTAGTCTACGCTCTTAACCACTACACCAAACTGGGTCTCCTTATGGAGTTGTTGTGAAGATAAAATGGAAGAGAGGCAAATCATGTAAGCCCCTTTGGGTCCCCACTGGAGAGAAAGGCAGGGTATGTGAGAAGTGAATAAACAGAAATCAGTCATCTAGGGATAATTGTATCTTTTATTGTGTGAACGAACTACAATGATATCACTTCCAAACTCAGCATCTGTTGGAGGGATGAACGGCTTTATCAGCTGAAACCAGAGCGATTTTCTTCCAGGTTTTGCATGGGACAGAGGCAATGTTCCCTCTAAGCTGTGGACTCTTGTGAGCAAAAATTCTACTTTATGAGCTACTGGCATTAAAGTTGTGAGCAAGAGATTTGGCTGCTGGATAAACTAGTTTGCTCTGGAGCCATCCTTCCTGAGCCAAGACAAAAATGTGTGAGCCAGAGGCTCAAAAACTGTGAGCTAGCTCACACTAACTCAGCTTAGAGGGAACACTGGACAGAGGGTAGGATTTCAGAAGTAGGATACGTTGGTGTTGATCATGTGCCTTAAATGTATTACCTGTACGGACACAAAACAGAAACTTAGCCAGACCTCTCTCGTAGCAGAAAAATTTGCCAGTTATTTCAAACCGACGTCTGTGTCAAATTCAGGGCTGCATGTTCTGAAAGTATTTTTGTTAAAACCTTTACCCTATAATAATGGAGCCCACATCAAATTAGAAGCATTAAAACCTAAAATCTGTTAAATAGTAGACACATTGCTTTGTATAGATGAAAATAACTGTTGCATTTGAATCAAAAATCTTAAGTGTGGTTAATCGGGTTGCTAGCTGGATGGACGGCCAGTCCTTTTACGTGTCATTGTGTTGGTCTTCATGAAACAGGCAGTGTCCTTTCTTCACCTTTGGATCCGCATAAATAGCTGGAAGATCCTTCTGCCCATTCCCGAAGCATTCAGCCCCTTAGAAATCAACTATCAAACTACTATTATTAGCTTGCATTTAATGAATGTAATGCCCTGCTTAATAGCTCTTCTCAAGCTATTTAACTTAATGAAGTGGTATGTGTTTTCTGTCCGAGCAGTCTTATAGCTTGCAGCTCGTTTGAGTTAATACTGATAAAACAGTAGGCATTCTCACTGTTTGAATCAATCTTCCTCCCTTGGGGTAGTCTCAGGGTTATATTAACCAGAGCCCCATCTTTGATGGAAGGTTGTTTGAACAGGACATTAAATAATCATTTATTTTTGGTAGGCATGTCGTTCCGTTGGTGAATTTGAAGCCTGTGACGCAGGTCACCCCAGTTCCTGCATGGAATGTGGTCCCTAGTCGGAAAGGAGGAAACTATCAGAAAATATCCGGTGGGTCCATACTGGAAGAAAGATTGTGTGTTAGAAGTACAAAGTGGTTTATCTGCAAAATTCAAATCTGAACTTGAATAAAATGAAATGAAATAATTTTAAAAACAAATTTTACAAATCCTTTTTAAAAAAAATAAAAGTGAAAGTTCTACTAATTAGTACCATTTTAAAATTCTGCTGTTAGTTCTGTTTAGTGAAAATAGTTTGGGATAGATGCAACTAATTTGTCTCCAGTAAAGTATTGAATATATTAGGGCACGTAATAGGAGGTTCCACTTTCTCCATCAGTGTCAGGCCTATGGAAATGGTGTAAACACCCAGTTCATTTTTTCCCTCCTGGTTACAGTGTCAGGGTTAACAGCTAGGATCTGCTGAGCCCAAACTAGTCCTTTGGAGAGTCTGTCTGTTACTTTAGCTGTCAAGGTAAGAGATGTAGTCAAGGTAGCATCATAGGGGTGGGGCTTCTGGACTGACTGTCTGTCACTCTCGTGTTCAGGGGTCCAATCTGCATCTAGCATTTGCTCCGCTGTTGTACCAAATGCACGCTGGAACAGCAGTTCCCCTCTGCATTGCATGCCACTTTCACTTTAATTGATTGTCAGATTTTATGGCAGTGTCCAGACTGCATGCCACTTTCACTGCATTTGCTTTCTCAGTTTTATGGTACTATCTACATAGATTTATGGTCATTTTATGGCCGTTCAGGGATGACGCTGCAGTCAGTATGGGATTGGCTCAGGGTATTTGAACGTGGTTTTGAGCGGCATCTTGTTCTGTTCCAGTGTGGGGTTGGTAAAACAACGGAGCAAAGGCTAGATGGGTCAAAGCTACCCCTCCATGAATGCTGATTGCTGGCTAGGGGCTTATGGCATATTAATCATTTTGCATGTTTGCCTTGCAAAGCTGCTACTGCCTCAAGTGTATTTCTCTGATGTGTTCAATGCTGTTTGCTGTATCTCCTTTCCCCGGTGGGTTGTATTGTCCTCTGCTTCTCATGCCGCCCTCCTGTCAATCATACTCTGTTCCTACTTCCTCTTTCAGAATTTCTCTTTCCTGGATTCATGAGCTATTCCTTTCTTCCCCTCTCTGACATAAAAGCGGTCTGTAGCACCCTAAAGGCAGAGAACAGTCTTCCTACACTTCTGCAGAAACCCCTGGAGGTAAAAATGCAATGTTTTTTTAAAAAGCCACATGGATCCATTCCCCGTCCCCAAGCACCCCATCACTAAGACTGTACCCTGAAAGAGAAGCAGCAATTGGTTGATATTTCAACTACAATTTTTTTTTAAATGAAAACCACATAGGAAAGCTGACACACACACACATGCCTTAGTGTGTAAAAATTAGCCAATCTGCAGGTGAGTCTGAATGCGTAAAATGTCTCTTAAGACCAAAGCAATGCAGTGGAAGGGCTTGGTTTTTCAAAGTTCGGAAAGGGGTTCTTTTGTGGTTTGTTTTATTCATCGTGTAAATATTTGCCTGCCACCTTCTCCAGACAGGCTCAAGGTGGCGCACACGAAACCAAACCAAAGACCAATATTAATAAAAACATATCCGTGCCCACCAAGTATTTTAGAAAGTGGGCAGGGCCAGCTGGGTCTTGCCCAGCAAGACTTCTCATGGGACATTGGAGATTTGACTGGCTATGCAGATTTTTTAAAATGTTGCTTTGGCAGCAGCTGGCACCACAGCACAAGGATCCACTCTGTGTGACTGAAGGCAAGTGGCGGCAGCCATTTTGTGGCTAGCTCTGCCTCCTGTGGCAGCCATTTTGTGGCTGTGTCTACCACGCCACGTCAGAATTCCAAAGGTGCCCGCAGGCTCGAAAAGGTTGGGGAACCCTACAATAAAGCAATCCAAAGCATTTGGGGAAATTGAAGGGGTCAGTACGCCCAGAGTGCGGCGGATGAACCTCCCCCTGGTAACGCTGCCTTCATGATCAAGGTATCTCCCCTAATGCATATAGACTGTGGTAAGTAATTAAAGAAATTTAAAAAGTATCTCCCCTGCCAGATAAGAGGGAGCACTTGAAGGAGTCACTTTGCACCTTCCTTTTAACAATCTTATTTTAGATACTTAAGGTGCAGACACTTTCAGTTACAAATGTCCAGGGAAGGTTAAATGACCATATTTTCTAAGTCCACATACTTTTTAAGGTGAGTATTCTAGCACTCAGTTTTCATTCTTGCACTGTATCTCCAGATGTTGCTCCAGGGGTTCCTGTTTCTAAAATGCTGGTGTTCCTTGAGCAGCTGCTCCATTAGCTGGTGCATAAGCACAGGGGAAAGGCGCAGGAAATTGTAGCAGAATCGACAGTCGTGTCCTAGCGTTGCCCATACTTCAATAATTTTTTCTTCCTCCTTTAATTACCATGGTAGATATGGATATAAAATCCCGGAAGAAGCTGTTTAAAAAAGTCCGTGGGAAAGAAGTTTTCATGACCGTGGCGTACAGCAGGGGTCAGCCCGTCCTTCCTCCCCGCCTACATCATGGCATTCCATCGGGACGATCGACGCCAATTCATTGCTCTCAAAATGGAGGGCATATGGCTCCTTATGAAAGTTACCATCCTCAGAATTCCCAGAGGTCCGGCAGGGGGTATGGAATGCCCAGGTGGTAAGCCTTGTTAGTCTATCAAATATCCTTTCTGTCCTCAACAGAGGTAATTCAGAGTTGTTTCTGAGCTGCGCTGCTAAGTTCCAAGTCAGACTCACCAGATCTCTGTGCCATGGAAGATTTACACTGGCTTTCTGGGCACGTTTCTGGGTTTGAACTAGAAAACCCTAAACTGTTAGGATTAGAGTTTGGCTTACACCGTGGAAAGGAGATGTTGCTTTAGGAATAAAGTTCATGAGATTTATTGCTTTAGAAAAGAAGTAGAAGGGGCAGGAAAGAGCACTGAAGGTCCACAGGAGCCCAGTTCTGCTCGGAACTGCAGCCTGAGGGGAGGAGAGGCGCCGGCCTTCCCCTCCACAGCATTTTCCCTGAGCTGAAACAGCCATTTATTTATTCAGCTATTTATTTGTGTATTGGATTTATTGTGTATTGGATTGAGAGCCAGTTTGGTGTTGTGGTTAAGTGCGCGGACTCTAATCTGGGAGAACCGGGTTTGAGTCCCCACTCCTCCACTTGCACCTGCTGATGAGACCTTGGGTCAGTCACAAGCTCTGGCACAGCTCTTCCTGAAAAAGAGCAGTTTCTGTCAGAGTTCTCTCAGCCCCACCCACCTCACAGGGTGTCTGTTGTGGGGAGGGGGAGGGGAAGGAGTTTGTAAGACGCTCTGAGACTCCAAGTGAAGGGCGGGGTATAAATCCAATCTCCTCTTCTCCTCCTCCCCCCTCCCCCTCCTCATTCTTCTTGTTGGATTTATAGCCCTCCCTCCCCCTGCAACAGGTCTCATGGCGGGTAACAACAGTATCCATAACACAATAAATATACATGTTAAGTAATTAAACAGTTGTTACCATAACATTGACACTAAAAGATGATGCCTAAAAAGACAACCTGGCGCCCCCTATCTAGGGGGGGAGAGTAAAATCTCATTACTGAGCACCTGGAGGAATACCAGAAGGGGGGGGGGGGGGGGGAGCCAATATAAGATGGAGAACCCCAACACAACTCAGCCCCAAAAATGTAATGTGTAGTTGGTTGTTAAGCTAGGGTGCAGAGAAACTGGAGAGCAGTGTTCCCTCTAAGCTCTGGAGTCTTGTGAGCAAAAATCCTACTTTGTGAGCTACTGGCATTAAAGTTGTGAGCAAGCAATTTGGCTACTGCATGAATTAGTTTGCTCTGGAGCCATCCTTCCTGAGCGAAGACAAAAATGTGTGAGCTGGAGGCTGAAAAACTGTGAGCTAGCTCACACTAACTCAGCTTAGAGGGAACACTGCTGGCGAGAGCTCATCTTGCCCTCCTGGAGGTTAGACAAAGCAGGAAGAGGAGGAGTTAGCTGGCAGGAAGGAACCCCTAAGAGAAGAATTCTGGTAAACAAAGAGACCAGCAGGCAAGAGGGAAGGGTAAAGAAACTGGCTTATCTAGCCTTCCTAGCTCTACTGCTCCTTCTAAAGTACTGGTATACTGTGTACAAAGGAACACTGCACAGTCCTTCACTTCCAGCATCATAAACTGCCCTAAGGCAGCCTTCTCCCGTATAATCCTGGCCAGTCACTGTGGGCCCTGCTTTTGGTGCTTCCCTCCCCAGGGATGCCAGATCAGCACCTGTACTGTGTTCTCCTCTGTTCTCTCTTTCACCAGCGCATTGTTTCCATTGCTTGTCTCGCTACTTATGGCTGTTTGATTTAATTGTCCTTACTTAGGTTTTCATAGTTATAACTTTTTTAGTTATTAGCTTTGTATACTATTTTGTGAGAAAAAAGCAGGATAAATATTGGAGGCTGACCCCTGTAATTTGTGTAAACTATGCAAATAGAGCCAGTTTGAATATTACTGCTTATTCTCCATAAGCCTATTTGGTTTCTCAGAGCCCCCAGAGCTTTACAGAGTTCCAGAGACCTCTGATTACTGGATGGCCAGGCTTGGGTGATCTTGGTCTTCAGAGGTTTCACCGCAGTATCTTCAAAGCCATGAAGGCCAATTTCTAGACAACAGCCCAAGGTTTCTCTGTATGTGGTGTGTGATTGTGGTAGTGTAGCATTCAGTTCTACTTAAATGGTCTCTTGCAGTGTCTAAATTTGCCATTTCCTCTCTTTTATCATTTTGAAACTTAGGGGAGCAGACCGGTTTATAAACAGAAGCAACATGGTCGGGCCAGAAATGGCATATGGTAGTCCAGGCAAGAGATATTATCACAGCTACGATAATTTCTCTTACAGATCTCGGTAAGCTGTTGTAAACATTCCTGTGAATTTTGCATTTGGGTTTGTTTCTTTGCAGTATTTTCACATTTGCCTTTCTACTTTTAAAAAGTCCTCAGGGTGATTCACAGCAAATAAAGCATGCTCTATAAATGCTTTTTTAAAAAAGTCTAGAATCCAGTCAAATATAGAAAAGAGAGTCAGCGAGAACATATCGTACATTTGTAGCAGTGAGCAGTTCTGTAGAGCATCCGACTGAAATGAGTCCCCAAAAGCCATAGGAACAATTCTTATTAAAAGCTCATAAAGTCAGCAGTCAAAACGCGGGCACCCCCAAATTGTTGTGGCTATTTTTGTGGCTTCAAGTCTGCCAAGGCAGCATTCTGCGTTTCCCTCATATGAAAACATGCGGAGAGAAAACAGATATTTGAAGGTGCCTTATTCTGAAGCCCACGCCTGTTTTTTTTAATCTAGTTCCTATATTTTCTCTGGGTGGCAGGTCTTCGGGCTGACAGGGGCCTTTCCCAGCAGTGCTACTTTGGGCTTACATGAGATTCTTCCAACTCAAAATGTCAGGGACTGAATCCAGGACTTTCAGTCTTGAGGGGTAGGCGGGACTCCCCCTCCTGCGTTTCCCTCATATGAAAACATGCGGATAGAAAATAGACATTTGAAGGTGCCTTATTCTGAAGCCCCCGCCTGTTTTTTTAAATCTAGTTCCTATATTTCCTCTGGGTGGCAGGTCTTCGGGCTGACAGGGGCCTTTCCCAGCAGTGCTACTTGGGCTTACATGAGATTCTTCCAACGCAAAATGTCAGGGCCTGAATCCAGGACTTTCAGTATTGAGGGGTAGGTGGGACTCTCCCTCCTCCCCCTTTTCATTTTTAAAAATACATTGGAGAATTGGCTCCAGACGAAGATGAGGGCAGGCAGATGATGGAATTTTTGCATCTGTCTATCTCTTTGGAGTAGCAGACTGTCTCGGTTCAGAAGCAATTGGCCTGGGGCAAACTTACAATTCCGCGCACAAGCGATGACTCCTCCGTTCCTAGATTCAAATTGGAACTTGCTTTCCCTGAGCTGAAGTATATGCAAGTGATGTATGAATCGAAAACTCAGTTTTCATTGTGCATGCTAGGATATCTCAAGGACTGTCTGCGCTTATCTGAGCTTGTCTGATTGTTGCAGTCATCTTCGAAGGCCCTGCTTGGTGTCCCGTCCCCCTCAGAGGAAAACTAGGTGGTAGTTTCTGCTCTGACACTTCATTTGTGGGACTTCTAAGAGGGAAGCCATGGGGAAGGAAGCCTTTGATTTTGTTAATGCTACTCTACCAATTTGGGTCTCAAAGGGACGGCAGAACGACAGTGTTTACTGTTAAATGTTTTTTACACTAGATTTTAATGCTGTGAGTTTGTCTCTGTTTTGTTCTAAGGTATTTTTTATGCTTCAGGCCACCTTGAGAATGCCCATTGGACCGTAGACTACCAATTTATGCATGCAGATGAGGATGGTTTCACTGCTGTTGCACTGGTTTTATTGTGTCAAATTACTTTTATTATTTCTTTTGTCCCTTTTTATTTTGTATCTCACCATTTTATTCCTGCCGTTAGCCACCTCGAACAGAGAGTTGGAGGCTCCTAAATACGTGCATAAATAAAAAAACAATTATCTGGTATTAAAGCACAGATCAGTCACGGTAATATTTGTTGAAAGATCTACATGCTGCGTTTTCTTCTCCTTCCTCCCCCTCCCTCTGCTAACCGGGGGTATTTTAAATGAATGTAGTTTCAGAGAGTAGCTGTGCTGGTCTGCATAGAAGGGCTGGATTCGAGCCCAGGAGCACTTTAGAGATCAACACGACGTTTGGGGTATGAGCGTTCAAGAGTCTGTCAAAGGGAGTCTTGACTCTCAAAAGCTTATACCCTGGAACAGGGGTGGCCAAACTTGCTTAATGTAAGAGCCACATAGAATAAACGTCAGATGTTTGAGAGCCGCAAGGCACGAACAAATGCGACACACATTTTAATTGGAAAATATGCAAATTTGCTTTTATTAATATTGATAAATTTAGATGGGGAGGGAGGGGAGAGAGAAGGAAAGAAAGGTGGAAAGAAAGCAAATGGATGGGGGAGGGAGGGGAGAAAGAGAGAAGGAAAGAAAGGTGGAAAGAAAGCAAGTGGATGGGAGAGGGAGGGAGAGGTGGAAAGAAAGCAACTTTAACGTTAAATGTGTCCTCCAAGCCCGCCCCGCCCCTCACGCCGGCTAGCTTGGCTTGGAGAAGGGATTTAAAGAGACAAATGCTTTCTCCAAGCCAGCTGGCGGGGATGGTGGTGGATGGGCTTTGAGAATGGATTTAAAGTTCAAGTTCCTTTCTTTCTCTGCACTGGCTGGGGAAGGGAAGACCAGTTGGGAAAGGCATGCCTCCCCTTTGCTTCCCCAGCCACTGTAGCGGGAGCCGCACAATATGTGTGAAAGAGCCACATCTGGCTCCCGAGCTGCAGTTTGGCCACCCCTGCTGCCCTGGAAGATCACGTTGATTTCAAAGGTGCTACTGGATTCGAAACTACACCCTGAATGGAATATCTGCTCGTTGTGTTCTGTCGAAGTCATAGTGTTCTTTTGGTCCAGTGGTCTCTTATATCTAGAATTGTTTAAATTACATCAGAGCCCAGCTTTCTTTCACCACACACCTCTAGGCCCATAGGCACAGGGTTCTCTGGAGGACTCCCATCCGGGCATTGAGCGAGGCCACATCTGCGAAGTCGGGCTCTCCAACTTTATCAGGTTTTTCTTCCTTCGTCCTTCCTTGGAAGGTCATACAGCCGCAGTCGCAGGCAGATGCAGTGTTTAAACAAAGAATGCCAGTACGGGTTTGCGGCTGAGAATGGTGAGGAACCTCAAGGCTTGGAAGAAACCATCACCTTCTATGAAATTGAAGAAGGGGATGACACGACTTTTCCTGCTCCGCCTGTAAGTCATTGAGCTGAAAACGATTAAAAAGAAAAGTGATAAAATAGGACCCGTACAGATACCACTGCATGAGCCTACAAACTGTGGAAGGGTCTAGAAAGGGGTACTTTATGCATTTGTCTCTTAGTCCGTTCTGCATAATGTACAGTAGACAGATCAGTTAAGACCTGATGATGAAATCTTTCATTAAGCATATATAGCACACGAAGCGGCCTTCTCCTGAATCAGACCCTTGGTCCATCAAATCCAGTGCTGTCTGCTTATACCGGCAATGGCTCCCCAGGGTTTCAGGTAGCGTTCTTTCACATCACCTACCACCTGATTCTTACTGGAGATGCCGGGGATTGAACCTGGGACTTTCTGCATAAGATGCCTGTAACTTGGTGTATTAGGGGTTGGGGGGGACGACTGCATTTCTCTGAACACATTCATGCAAAACCGATGCCGCAAAAGCCGAGTCTGTGTAAAAATGTTTTCAGTAAAACTGGTCTTCGGGAATGTCGTAATGATTGGGTAGAAGTTGTCAGAAAGTTGACAGAGAGAAATGGGAACTTGTCCCTCCACAGTATGAATGCATTCTCTGACCACATTTTAACACTGTAATCAGAGGTCATTTCGGGGGGGAACGCGAGGGATCGCAGTTCCCCTGGGTGAGGTACGGGGGGCGGGGCATATGACGAAGCCCCGCCCCCTGCTTCCGGCCACCCCGCTTCTGGCCCTCATTCAGCCAGGAGGAGGCAGGAGAAGAGGGAGGGTAAGTTGCTTCCTCCCTGCCTCTCCCCACCCCTGCCTGCCTGGGGCCAGGGAGGGCCTTCGCGGGGCTTCCTTGCACTCCCGCCGGCCTTGCAGGTCCACCGCCGGGCCCCTGATGTCAGGGGGTGTGGCATATGCTAATGAGTTATGCTAATGAGTTCCCCTAGCTCTTTTTCTACGAAACGACCCCTGACTAATCTTCAAAGAGCCTCCTTCAGTAGTTGCTACTATGCTGCCATTACAACGATCACCATTTTTTGGGGGGGGGTAAAGTTTCGTGTGAAAAATCTGTCAGCAATTTGTATACAGGCCTGACCTATTTAGGGTTCCCAAAGTTATCATGAATCCGTCTTGGAGGAAATGGGCCTGAGCCATGCGCGCTAATATTGCCACCCATGAAGTGTTTGGTCTGTTCTTATTTTGAGAGTGTGGCTGTGGTCTTGGGGGGCGAGGAATCACGTAGGCACCCTGGTAATATACCACCCACACCCTACTGAGCTATTGAAGTTGCTTTTGGACATACTGATTGAGGCCCCAAGGCATGTGGTCAGTGTTCCCTCTAAGATGAGTTGGTGTGAGCTAGCTCACAGTTTTTTAGCCTCCGGCTCACACATTTCTGTCTTAGCTCAGGAAGGATGGCTCCAGAGCAAACTAATCTATGCAGTAGCCAAATTCCTCGCTCACAACTTTAATGCCAGTAGCTCACAAAGTAGAATTCTTGCTCACAAGACTCCACAGCTTAGAGGAAGCTTTGCTTGTGGTCAATGTTCCCTCTAAGCTGTGGAGTCTTGTGAGCAAAAATTCTACTTTGTGAGTGAGTGATTTGTCTACTGCATTAATTAGTTTGCTCTGGAGCCCATCCTTCCTGGGCTAAGACAAAAAAGTGTGAGCTGGAAATTAAAAAACAATGAGCTAGCTCACACTAACTCAGCTTAGAGGGAACACTGCTTGTGGTCCTCCGGGAATATCAGCATTTATTTATTCACTCTGTTTGTATCCCACCTATCTCCTCAGTGGGATCCCAAAGTGGCTTACACTCTCCTCCTCCATATTATTCTCACAACAACCCTGTGAGGTAGGATAGGCTGAGAGAGTATGACTGGTCCAAGGTCACCCAGCGAGCTTCCCTGGCAGAGTGGGGATTCGAGCCTGGGTCTCCCAGATACTAGTCCAGCACTCCTAACCACTACATCGTACTGGCTGTCACGTCAATGCTCACTTGACAGGTGTGGCTCTGGAATTCATGGCACCATGACAGCCATGCGCCATCCCAGAGCAGCCAAGTCCCCAAACGCGTGGCAAGTCATACGCACGATCAGCGCTCCCTCTAAGCTGCGGAGTCTGGTGCGCAAAAATTCCACTTTGTGAGCGACTGGCTCACAAAGTTGCGAGCGAGCGATTTGGACACTGGATAAATTAGTTTGCTCTGGAGCCCTCCTTCCTGAGCGAAGGCAAAAACGTGTGAGCCGGAGGATAAAAAACTGTGAGCTAGCTCACACTCACTCAGCTTAGGGGGGGACACTGCACATGATCTGGTTTGCTTCCCCCCCCCCCGGGGAATGGAATTAAGTGATCTGGTAATGAGGGAGGTTATGGGATTCTAAGAAGTCATCGCTTGGAAAGACTGTGGGATTCCCCAGCGCAGCTCGGACCCTGGGCCCTTAACAGAGGCTCTAGAAGGCAGTTTGTCTCTGCTTGCTCAGCCCTTTAGGCCTCGGGCCCGAGGATGCTGGCTGTAGCGCCCCATCCCCTGACACTCAGCCTAGTTGTGGGGCCCCTTGTTCAGACGTCATTCTCCACCACCACCACCACCACCATGGTCTGAAACTGGAAAGATCATCTCCCCCAACCTCCCCTCAGGCTACAAATCAAATAACATATGGGCATTGTGCTTTAAACGGAGTGGAGTATGATTTGTATTGTGGGTTTTAGATAGAAAAATGGATTTGCTATGGATTGAGTCTTTGCAACTGCCTTGATCATTTGCTTGTTTACCTGCCTTTCTACCCAGTGGGGACCTCAGGTGGCTTCTGTTGTTCTCTTCACTTTCATTTTATCCTCACAACAGCCCTGTGAGGTAGGTTAGGCAGAGGGAGTGTGCTGGTCCAAGGCCACCCAGACAGCTTCCATGGCAGAGTGGAGATTTAGACTTGGGTCTCACAGATCCCAGCCTGACCTTTGAATTCAGGGTCCCCACCAGCACCTTTCCTGTGGGCCCTCCAAGGGTTTTTAGGAAGTGGGAGGGGCAGATGGGGCTCATGCCCAGCAGGACTTCTTCCTGGCAAGTGGATTGGCTGTGCAAATTAAACTAAACCTTGTTTTGTGGTAGGTAACACCACAGTGTGGGTTGTTTTCTCTCTCTCACTCCTCTTTCCAGTGTATTTTTTAAAGCCTTCAGCAACATATATTTTTTTAAGTTACTGGTTTAAGAAAGCCAGTTTGGTGTAGTGGTTAGGAGTGTGGACTCTAATCTGGGAGAACTGGGTTTGATTCCCCACTCCTCCACAGGCAGCTGGTTGTGTGAACTTGGGTCAGTCACAAGTTCTCTCAGAGCTGTTCTCTCAAGGGCAGTCCTCGAAGGAGCTCTCTCAGCCCCACCGACCTCACAGGGTGTCTGTTGTGGGGAGGGGTAGGGGGAGGAGATTGTAAGCCGCTCTGAGACTCCTTTGGGTAGTGAAGGGCGGGGTATAAATCCAATCTCCTCCTCCCCTTTCGAGAGTCAGAGCTCCCTTCATCCAATAGCAGAGTTTCACTTCTTGAGAGATCATCCCCTGAAAATCCCTGAGGTGCAGCTGGACTTGACTTGAGCTGTTCTACTGCAGACCAACCCGGCTACCCGCTGAAACTGTCCCATAGTAAACTCTTGACCGTCATTGCTGTTGTTTCTGCTTATTTTTCTCTTTTGTTTTAGAACAGAAGGCGAGCCCTATCAGCTGCAAGTTCTAACAAAGCTCTCAACTTGTTCTGCAGAGTCAGGGTAACCCGCCTCCCATAGTTCCTGATCCTGCTGGATTCTGGGTAGCCACAAGGGGTCCAGCTCCCATCCCGTCTAACAAGCCGGCTCTAAATTCCTCCGAGGAAGAAGTGGACGAGCCCAGCGATAATGGTAAGGACAGGAGTCGAAGCGGCCGCAGTTGCAGGATCCTATTAAACAAAGCAAAAGCCTCTTCTCACGTTGCTCAGTTTGCGGTGCCTCATTGATGGTCAGCTGGTTGGTCATGACCCAAAACTGGACTGCACCATATCTAGAGATGTAAAATTTCCGAAAATTTTGAAGCTCAGAAAAAAACCCATTTCCCCCCCAGTTTTTTCCCGGGGGGAAACGGAAATTTTCGGAAAAATTGAAAAAAAATGCTACATTAGCATTTCTTTTGTCTTTTCTAGATTGTCATTCTGTTACTTTAGGAACATAAAATATGACTATGGACATTTTTACTTGGCATGAAATTATCACAACTGGCATATTAAAAATATAGTGTATCCAAACAATTATCACAAACAGAATACCCACCCAACATGCAAAAACAAAACTGAAACCTTTTTCTTTTCTTGTGACAATAGCACCTCCTAAAGGCAGACATGCATCTTGTTCTTGCATTGGAGAGTTCAGTTTGTAACCTAGGACTTGCTTGTCCTCAGTGCACAGAAATTAGATCAATCTGATACCATATATATATATATATATATTAGAAATGATTTGGAAAATACACCTTGTCTTAAAATATTTTATTCATCAAGTTAAATAAAATAAAATGTTCCATAATCATTTTTTTTTCTTTTTTCAATTTTTCAAATTTTTCGGAAAAAACAAAAAAGGCTTCAGGGAAAAAACGGAAAAAAACTGGTTTTTTTCTGAATTTTTCCGGTTTTTTCCTGGGCCTTCACATCTCTAACCATATCTAAGATGTGTTGGGCCAGGGCCACTGCTGCAGTTATTTTTGTAAAGTTTTTAAGGACTATGAGAGTGGAGAGAAGGGACAGATATAATAGAAATAAATGGTACAAGGTTTGAGTCCGGTGACACCTTTAAGAGCAGTGATACATTGAAATAGACTTTGCCAGCCATTACGTAAAGGCCAGGGGGAGGAATGTTAGTTGCCAAAGAAGGGCTTATTGGAGTCAAGATGCATAAGTAACTGAGCGATAAGTATAGCTAAGATTGGATTAAAGCAGTTGGTAAAACCTGTGAATAGCAGCAGATTAGCATACAGATAGTAAAAGAGTTAACAAACAGGTGTGAGAACTGAATGACTTAGCATGTGTAGTGAGATAAAAACCTGATATCTCTGTTAAGCCCTGGGTTTCCATTGTCCTGAGTGTTGTAATGACTTGTAATTCAGCAATCTCCCATTCCAGTCTGTTTTTGAAATTCCTTTGCAATAAAACAGCTACTTTGAGGCCCCCGTTGAGTGCCCAGGGAGGTTGAAATGTTTTCCTACAGGTTTCTCAGTTTTGTGATTCTTGATGTCAGGTTTGTGCCTGTTTCTCCTTTGGTGTAGGGTTTGACCTGTTTGCCCTATGTAGAGAACCAAAGGGCATTGTTGGCACTTATTGACATATACAGTGTTAGCAGATGAGCAAGTGAATGAGCCTGAGATGGTGTAGTTGAAATAAATGGTGTAAGATTCATGGTCCAAATAGGGGTTAAAGATAGGTTCTGGGTCTGTAAAGGCAGAAGATACCACTCTAACTTTTTGCCAATTAAACAGTGTTGATGGTTGGATAGGAAGGGGGATCGGTCCATGTTCAAATGCACTGAATATAGACTAATCCAGGGGTGTCAAACTAATTTTTTATGAGGGCCAGACCTGACATAAATGTCACTTTGTCGGGCCGGGCCATGTATACCTTAAAACATATTGCCAGGTACTGGAGATAGAAACTATATAAAGGACAGCAGCTGGTAAGCTCCAAATTGGTGTATCCTCACTGCAAGGCCCCGTGGGCTGGGAGGGGGGTGCAAAGGAAAACCCACATAGGCGGACTGGAGAGCCAGCGGTGCAGCACTGGGCAGATGTTCCCGTGATGCTCGACTGTGGCAGACAAGGTTGTTCTGCCATGCTGAAGCCACCATGGCGTGGCTGTGCCCACTCCCCCCCCCAGTACTCCCTCCCTTGCACCAGTTGCTCGTGGGCTGAAAAGGGCCTTGGATTGGCCAGTTCCGGCCCCCGAGGCCTTATGTTTGACACCCAAGGACTAATCCTTTTCTAAGTCCTTTGCTCATATGTAATTTTCTGATTCTGTAAATACACACAGCCTCTATAGATTCAAACCGAGCAGTCTGTTAAACTTGGTGAATGGGCGGTAGAACTGCTTCACCATCAAGTATGTCAGTCACATAAAAGCTGCGTCGCAAAGCAGAATCCTCTCTTTCAGTAGATTAGCGTGCTCTGAAGCTGTTGACACTTGTAGTTTTTCCCGTAGCTTGTATTTACAGATTAATCATGTACTAATTTGCAGATGGCGCTTCTTCACAAATCCCCTTAACATAATCTAAAATCTCTAGAGTTTGGATAATGCCCTTCCATGGGGAAAAATGAGATTTGGGTTTGATCCGTTTCTTAGGGAATGAGATCTCTTCCTCAAGGACTCTCACATCAAATGGAAAGGAATTTCTAATTTCTCTCAGCCTAACACAATGTTTCCTCTGCTTTCCTAGGGGAATATCATGAGGATTACCTGTATAGCCCTCCAGGTTGGTAAAACAATGGCATTGTCGTAGGCCTAATTTCAGCAGAACTTGAATTGTGTGAATTTTTTTTTTTGAAACAACTAATACTGTTGTGTGTGAGCTCATCTTGGTTTGTATCCTCCAGATCCAGAGTGTGATACTCCAACTGTGTTTACTGCAGCTGAAGCTGCCACGAACTTGGTAAGCGTTTGTCAAGATGTTCTGTAGCATTATCAGAAAACTGTAGAATACAAATAAATGGGGCAGGATTTTATCTTTGTCTCCTTACAAAATTTATACCCCTCCTTTCTGCCCTTACAAGGGCCACCAAGGTGGCTGAATTGAAACGTATATAATAAAATCACAATTTAACACCAACCCCCAACAAAAGCATGTGTCATTAAAGCAATTAAAAACAGGGCTGAAATACAAAGTCATAGAAACGGCAGTTAATACATCGGTTGGGAAGAACAGATCACTGAGGGAATGCGAAAGGAAACACAAAGGCCTCACCTGTGGTGGAAGACAGTAACAGAAGGAGAAGAAGAGAAGAGATTGGATTTATACTCCGCCTTTCACTCGGAGTCTCAGAGCAGCTTACAAACTCCTCTCCCTTCCCCTCCCCACAACAGACACCCTGTGAGGTAGGTGGGGCTGAGAGAGCTCTGACAGAAACTGCCCTTGAGAGAACAACTCTGAGATAACTTGTGACTGACCCAAGGTCACACCAGCAGCTGCATGTGGAGGAGTGGGGGGATCAAACTGGATTCTCCCAGATTAGAGTCCGCGCACTTAACCACTACACCAAAGTGGCTCTCTGGGGACAGATGGGTCTCTCTGGGGAGAGAGTTCCGGAGCTTTGAGAAGGCCCTCTCCTAGGTTGTCACCTGACTGACCTCAGAAGGTGTGGGCACACAAAGCCAGGCCTCTGTAGATGACTGTAGCAGTCAGGTGGGTTCATAAGGGAGCAGGTAGTCCTTCAGGTGTGTTGGCTCCAAACCATATAGGGGGGCTTTGAAGGTCAACATCAGCACCTTGAATGGTGCCCAGAAGCAAACTGGGAGCCAGAGTTTAGGCTTGGTTCAGATCTAACACGTGGCTGTCTGCTTGACCTGTGTTCGTTTGTTTCACAGTGTAAGTCCATCCACAGAGTCAGGCTTTCTTTGGGTGAGAGAAGGGAAGGTTTTTGTGCCTTAAGGCTTAGCTTTAGGAAGAAGCATGTAGGAGAGGCCAGTGGGAACTCCTACTGGGCAGGTATCCAAGGAGCAACTTCTGTTTATCTTGCTCTTTTTTATCCCATCTTTCGCCCAAGGAGCTCAGATTGACATACACAATCTCCCTTCCCTAAGTTATCTTCACAACAGCAGTGGCAGGCAGTGTTCTCCGGTGGTTTAGGAGTGGGGCAGTTCTTGACTCCTTACTCCTGGGAAAGCACCTCCCCCTTCCATAGGCAGGGCCAGCAAACTTTGATCCCAGAGGGGAGGGGCTTATCCTCTGATCCCCAGTCTTACTGGCCCTGCCTTCTGAGCAGGACGTGCTGGCTGTGCTCTGAAGAGCACGAAGATCCCAGAAGACACCGGAAGGTCAGAAGAAGAAGCGGAGACCTAAAGGGTAATGGGAGAAGGTACTTACCTTCCAGCCCTAAAACATATTCGAGAGCTGCAGGCCTCGAATTACAATGGATCTGGCGCCGGCAGTCCTGGGAGGCCCCCAGGCAGTCGCAGCACCGAGAGGAACGCCTCGGACCCCGCTGGGAAGGCGGCGGTAAACTGCTCTCCCCCCCCCCATCCAGCCGTGGCGGCGTGCAGCGGTTTTGGGGACAGACGCTCAGTGAAGAGCCTGGGGAGAGCAGAGGCAAGCGAGGCGGCCGAGGATGGTGCGGAATCTCTGTCGCCGTCCCTTTCGGCATTGGAATGGAGCCCCCTCCTTGTTCCAGATTGTGGCGAGGAGGGACGTGTCTCCTGCGCAGTCTACCCACGTGGTCAGCTGAACCACGGTAGGACTGTATCCATTGAGAACTGGCAAGGTGTGGAGGGGGAGAGAGAAAGAGGACTACCCCCCTCCTCCAGTTTTCTTTTCCCCGCCCTTTACTCCTTTCCTCTGGATCTGGATGGGAAGTTCTTTAAAAGGACGAATTGCTTCTGGTCCATGGGTCAGGTCTCTAGCAGGGACATTTTACAGTCCTTATTGCTGGGCCTTCGGGAAAGGGAGCAACAATAGACAGCCTA